TCATAAAATATCAACCATATTAATATTTTCCACCAAGAAAAGTTTCGAATTTAATGGAACATTTACATGACCTATAAAAGTATAGTATATTTCAACTTCAATTTTCATAAATTGGCCAAAAATCGCCAATTCTAATTTTAACAGATATTAATTAATAAATGACTAAGGATTATAATAAACTAAGGCATTTTAGGGTTAACGAGGGTTAACTATTCGAAAAATGAATCCAAAATCTGAGTATTTTTCAGTTTTACGCTGACTTAGCTTTATAGTCGAACCAGTCAATCACATCTATTAGACAAAATTATAATGAACACAGAAGTAATTTTAACATAAATATTTTACGGAATCCGTTCCTGAAATATACAAATAATAAAATACCAAAAGCCCGAAAAAATCTAATCAGGGGAACATTGTTCATTATAAAGATATTTAATGGGTTAAAATAAAACGTTTTATTGCACAACTGCTCTGCTGGAAGTTGCATAAATGCATGTCGTTGCCAAGTTGTTGCTAACCAAAAAAATGTGAATTATAAGGTAATACGCCCGCGCGCGATCCAAAAGCGGGGAACACATAGGTTTGTCGCGTCAAAGGGATCTGTTGCCGAGTGATCTCCTTCTCAATAATACCTCCATGATTAGACTGAAATTATATTCTTCATTTCAATATTAATTTTACCAAAATTGTGGTGTATTGTCGTTCATGAGACTCACTTCGCAGATAATATTTGTTCTGTATATACTCAAATGTTCGTTTTCGGCACCTTATGCCAACATTATCAAAATGACAGATTAATGTTACATGAGAACATGAAATTTTATAAAATTCGTAAATTTTAAATTGCTATAACTATTCTTTTTCTTGGTCAGTTTTCAAAAATCAAATTGCAGTTTATAGAAGCATTTAACAAGCTCGTAGTAAAAAAATATCAGATGTAACAGACATTGCGAAGTATCCAAAATTAATAAAATAAAAACTAACACCATAAAACGAAGGACACGCAGAGACTAATAATTGTGGGCTGTACTCGCAACTAGTATGGGATTGTCATAGAGGTATAATAAGAATACTAGAGCGCTAACTGCAATGTATTAGATGTTCGAAATACGCAGAAAACTGTGTGTGTGTACCATCCAAGATGGCTACCATAGATTTAGCCAATCAAATTTCACTAAGCGTCATCGTTTGCAAATGCGCCCTCAATTTACTCAGAAAGTTCAGTACAGCTAGTTACCTGTATGTTTGAAACTCGAGCGTTGCGGTGTTTGGGTGTAATGTATACGATTTTAATTTTCATTCCTTGGTACTTTATTTTTGAATAAGATGCTTCAATTGGCCTCGTTTTGGCTACAATAATTTAATAATTTGTTATTACTATTACTCATTATCATTAATGAAAAAAATAGTCAGGCAGAGGGCTTATTAATATGTAATAATATGTATACTAAGCCTGAAGGTGGCGCTTTACTACGACGGCCATCTTGGATGGTACACATACATAACTCTGCATTGCTGCGCCATCTTGTCAGCACTCTAGTTGTTTAATAGCTCTATGGGGATTGTCGATGCCACAGTAAAGATCAAAGGACTGTACGCACGCGCTATATTCGAGAGTGGAGATGGGCGTCCTTCTGTTGAATTACCTTGTTCCAATCAAACTTAACAACTGACCAATCAGAACTAGTTATTTAATGGCGTCCTCGGATTGAGCAAAATGTCTCAGAAGCAGTTTACATAGTACGTTTGAGCTGTTTAAAGGCGGGAAAAATATCCAAGGAGTGGGGCGAAGGACCAAAGCGCATGAGCATTGGTGCTTATCATCCTGTGAGATAACACATAATGTATACATAGTCTATAAATAAATACGCCTATCGATATCATTCTGCTTGTCTGACTTACTTTTTTGAATTCCATTATGGATTGTTTCTGCTTATGAAGTCAATTATTGAGTTGACGTCTATAATTATTTTATAATTGCTGTTTCAACGCCTGATATATTCTAACATATATATATACATATATGTTTATGTGTGTATATATACTTATATATAAGTGCATATATAAGAATATAAGTATATATATAAGTACATATATAGGCCTATATAAGTATATATGTAAGTATGTGTATGTGTATATATTTAAATTTTGAATTTTGAATTTTGAATAAATATACCATTTTGAAATATATATAAGTATGTATGGTATATATATATATAAGTATGTATATATATATGTATATATATAATATATAAGTATGAATATATGTTATAATGCATATATGTATGTGTATATATATATACTGTATATATATAAGTATATATGTAAGTATGTGTATGTATATATGTAAGTATGTATATATATATGTATATATGTATGTATATATATATATATAAAAGTATGTATATACGTATATATATACGTATATATGTATATATATATTATGTATATATGTATATATATGTATGTATATATGTGTGTGTATATATATAAGTATGTATATATGTGTATATATATATATAAGTATGTATATATGTGTATATATATATATAAGTATGTATATATATGTGTATATATAAGTATGTATATATGTTATAATGGATATATGTATGTATATATATAATATATATATAATATATATAATATATATACATATATATATAAGTATATATATATATGTATATATGTATTTATAAAAGTATGTATATATGTTATAATGTATATATATATATATATATATATATATATACAGACATACATACATATACATACATACATACATTATAACATACATACATATATGTACGGTTGGGTCAAATTTGTGTGGTGGTTGAAAAATACAGGGGGAGTTTTTATGGCCCAAAATAGTGATTTCAGACCACATTGGTAATGTTATTCGACAGGCAAATTACAGTAACATTTTTAGCAAATTTCTTTGAAAAAATATCGTAGGCATAGGGCCTAGCTACGTATACAGTATTTTCATTTTAAAGTAGTTTGGAACGATATCGGAAGTGGGGTGCTGGCAGTTGCCTGCTAAGGACTACAATTTATTTGAAAATATCTTGGGTCCGATTGTCCACACCAGTTGGGCCCAATTGTCTGTCACCCGAAGTTTTCATTACGATGATCAAGAACGTACACGGTCTAGGCCCTAGGCTAGGCTTAGCTTTCTGCTGTCACTCTGCTATGTATACTACAATACTACCGCATAACAAAGAAAGCGACCCACGTGGTGCATTCTTAAATATTACACACATCATTTAATTGTATTAGACGATAACACGATATCATTGATTGAACGATCTAACCACCCTCGCATCGCAGTAATACTGAACTAAGTCCAGCTTTTAGGCCTCATGTTTTTGTGGCGTTTTTGTCGTTATGTACCCGACAGTCGGCTGCCTTTATATTTTCAGTTTGCATTCAAAGGGTACATTGCTGCACAGCCAACTGTCGGGGATATAGTATCTTCATATGACTACTCATACGTATACAACAGAAAAAACGTCGCATGGACTTAGTGAAAATGGAGATCTAAATGAAAAAACGATGTATTTCAGCAAGTATTAAAACATTTTAGTTTTATTTTAGGCCTTCTTCAAAATACCTATGCCTACAGCAGTTGATTTATTTTGCCGTAAAACCAAAATAGTTTCATCCATGCCGACTTTCCGGTCGGTTAGCGCGAGCCCTGACTGAATTCTGCAGAAACTTCACATCAATCTTCGCATCGCGATGTAAAACAAAATGTCGGAAAACTTTTCTTTGACGCATGCGCATTTGCGTAAATGTCTACACACACACACACACTACACACAATAAAAAACATAGCCAGAGTGATTACAATAGTTCCTATTGCATTACATGCATAGGAACTAAAAAATCATGAATAAAACAGCCGTAGAAACAAATAATGCGAGTAATATCAGTGTACCCATGGATAATTACCTAAAAGACTTAAATGATGCGTTCATACCATTAGGTGTGAGAGTACCAAGTTTGTAAATAATTCGTTCCTCTAATTTCTTACGAGATATTTCTGAACTGTTACAAATCTTAACACCGTATTAGATATTACTCACTGTATTAGATATTACTCGCATTATTTGTTCTACTGCTGTTTTATTCATGATTTTTTGTTATATTGTATTTATTACACCATATAATGTAATTCTTGGTTTTCGTTCTCTAAGGCGAATCCTTTTTTATCAGAGGGTATAATACTTATTATCCGAGGGCATATTTTTTAGATGTAACTCGCATTATTGGTTACTATGCCTGTTTTATTCGTATGATTTTAGACTACATTGTTCCGTAATTCTTATGCCATGTATACTTAGTTTACGCTCTCTAGGTGTGTCCATTTTGACTTTATTTAGGTGCCTGCCCCATTGTTCTATTGTTTTATTTATGTTCTTTGTTTATTACGACGCATGAGCTTGGTTGACTGCTTATTATCTGTTTTTTTTTTTATTGGATGATCACGTTATACTTTTGTTAATGTACTGCTACTTATTTATCTATTCTTGTCCTGTCTCTTATATAAACACATATAAACATATATATAATATATATATATATATTAATTATGTCATCATCAGGAATGAAACATTATCCATATTTGCAAGCTTATATGCACAAGTACCAAAACTCTTTGACCAATCAAAACATTACCCCTAGTAGGTGACATAGCTATGAATAAACTAAAGATCAAAGCACCCTACTGATCAAAGTTACCTACAAAAACAAAGAAAGCTCTTTTGAAGCTCTCAGCCCATTGTTAAGCAAAGGGTGTAGCCTACGTATAGCAAACGCTTCTTTAAACAAGAGTATAGACCAATTTTGCGAACTGTCAATAATGTTAGTATTAGAAAATATTAAACCTAATTTATTACTTACATTACAGACTACATTATCATTTTCAAATATACCTTGTAAACCTTAAACATACTGGAATGCCTAACAATTTTGTATATGATCATTTATAACACTATCAGATCGTGAAGAATATTCTTTAAGTCTAGTTATTAAGCATCTATCTGTCTTACCAATATAATCACTAATTACAACCGCCCCCACCCCCTGGTTGGGATTTGAGCCCGGGACACTCTGCTACCTATGCAGACGCCTTAAGTCATTGAGACTCTTCTATTTGGTGTCAGCGTCTTCTGAATCTGATTCTCTCACTGACTCTCACTGAGGAAGGACGTGGCAGTCTCTTCTGAAAGCTTTACTTCTCTACCGAGATCCAGCCATTGCTTTCCAAAGCGTTGTTGTTTTCCAGTAGTTCACCTTTTAATTAAATTATAATACGTGTACTATGTCAATTGTACAATTTAACTTACTAGTTTCGCAGTTGGTTCCGGTATATCCGATAACACACGTGCAAGTATATGTTCCCACGCCATCACTGCAGGCGGCGCCATTTTGACAAGGTGCTAGTTGGCTACAGTGATTAATGTCTAAACCAACATGAACAAAGTACACGTTACTTTGATGACACTACTACTACTACTACTACTACTACTACTACTACTACTACTACTACTACTAATAATAATAATAATAATAATAATAATAATAATAATAATAATAATAATAATAATAATAATCATAATAATAATCATAATAATAATAATAATCATAATGATGATGATGATGATGATGATTATGATGATGATAATAATACTACTACTACTACTACTACTACTACTACTACTACTAATAATAATAATAATAATAATAATAATAATAATAATAATAATAACAATAACAGCAACAGCTACAGCAACAACAACAACAACAATAATAATAATAATAATAATAATAATAATAATAATAATAACAATAATAATAATAATAATTAATAATAATAAAGAGATGTGAAACGGAAAAGAAAGACAATTTCACTAGGAGGAATTAAATTTCATCATGTTCTAGGAGAGCCAGGTTAACTCTTAGATATGCAGATCTAAAGTTTGTCGATACGAACTTTTATCGACAAAACTGACAGAGAGTTTTATGATCTTTACTTTGCGCAAATTAGTAGCCCCGGGACCCGTTACATTAGTATACAAATAACTGCATCGGTACGATTATGTAAGTAACCTACTTCAATTTGTTAATGAGGACGATGAAGATATTGGTATCGTCTTCAAAATCATGATAACTCTATTAATTCACCCTCACAAGTATACAGTCTTTGCCCCTCATTTAGGCCCATTTCACGGTCTAGATTTTGAAACTCATGAAAATTTGATGTTCCAGATTGTTAGGTCTATTCTAGCCTAAACAAATAAGTTGGTTGAGACATTTCTCCTAGATGAGTGCCCGTGATCTTAAAATTGGACAACGAACATTGTATTAATGGGAACCCAAAACGTTTAAGAGAATTGTTAGAATGTTTTAATACTGTATAATTGCTATTCTGTTTGACCTACAGAGGCGTACCCACTAAAAAATACTCCTCTAGTTCCCCACCTCATTGAAAGTGTTCAAAGCAAAATAAATCACTTTCAAGTAGTTAAAATCTAGCGTCCCCCTCACCTATTCATCGATTCCCCACTCAGTGGCGTATCTAGAAGTCTTAATATGGAGGTGCTAATGGGGGGGGGGCGAAGGTGAAGTGGGGGAGGGGGCGACTGGGGGAGCGAGTATTATTTTGAGGGGAGTAACCCCCGCGCCCTCCCCTAAGTACGCCACTACCCCCACTTACCTTCGCGTCTCTCTTCACACCCCCACCCATTTAAAGACTCTTAGATTCGCAACAAAGTTCACTAACAGGCGATGCACCTACCGCAAACAACTCCTACATCTTCTCCATGGCCGCAGTTGGAATTGTCCCATTTTTGGCTACTGCAGTGCCAAATCTGGCTTTCTCCACCTCCACAATGAAGGTCGTCGATCCAGATGGGACCACCACCACCTCCCCAAGTCCTATAAGACGCAGCTCCGACGTAGCCAAGCGATCGACAGGCAACGTTTGCATCGTTCATGTCAAAGAAATCGTCGCATACTGTACCCCACTCCCATCGACTTTCACAGAAGAGCCAGCATCCGGTTTTGTACCACCAAACCTCCAATCGGCCTTCCCAAGAGACACTTCCACCCGACAACCTGATACTCTCTGCAAGGATGGTACAGAATACGTGCGTTAACACAATGGTAATCTCACTATAATAAAACAATTTATCAAATCCTTATTATAGGCCTAATAAACATTATTAATAGCATTATACTTATCGATGTTATCATTATTAACATAAGCTTAAGGCAACCACATAATGACAATAATAAATAATAATTATAAAAATTATCCCCCGCCGGACACCAATCTGGTATTTCTATCTGAGTCAAGGTTTCGGGGCCAGTAATTACTGTTTAAGGTTAAACTTAAACTACATCACTTAACTGCAATATGGTAAAAACTATCCCCCGCCGGAGACCAGCCTGGTATTTCTGAGTCGAGGTTTCGGGGCCGGTATTACAAGGTAGGACAGGTACAATCACTTAGATAAAAATTAGTAAACTATCCCCCGCCGGACACCATCCCGGTATTTCTGAGTCAAGGTTTCGGGGCTGGGATTACAATTTTAACATAAGTACAAAAATTATTAAACAATGGTAAAAATTAACCTCCGCTGGGCACTATTCCGGTATTTCTGAGTCCAGGTTTCGGGGCTGGGATTACAATTTTTAACTTTAATACAAACCTAACTAAACAATGGCAAAAACTATCCCCCGCCGGACACCATCCTGGTACTTCTGAGTCAAGGTTTCGGGCCATTACATTATTATTTTTTTACAATTGTTTCTTATAAGCATTTTTGAATAAATCAAGAAGCTGACATTCTTGAATTCTGATCGGGATTTTTGTGTAAAACTTTTGCTCCAGCCAGGGGTGGCGCCAGTGGGAGAGGGGACGGGGGAGCCAGGGCACTCCCGTCGGGAAAAGTTGCCCCCCCCCCCACCCCGTCGGGGAGAAAAAGCACAATTCGTCGAAAAGGAAAAAAATATATATGAATTTTCTACATATTAGTAGACTCTAAAATCGATCAAATAAGCCTCGAAACCCCTAAATTGTCAAAATTTTCGCCACTCCTGGCTCCAGCCATTTTTACAGAGCAGTTTGGAATTGGGGAATGTATCACCACTAATGTAACAATCAACCACGATTGTAACATTAACCACTGTTGCAACAAAAATCAACCACTGCTGTAACAGTAACCATGTAACAAAAATCAACCACTATTGTAACAATTTCATTAACCACTATTGTAACAACGATTTAAACACTGTTGTAACAAAAATCATTAACCACTGTATTTGTAACAATGATTTAACTAAATTTATGTACAAGAAAGAGAGAAAGCAAACAAACAGTAAACAGCGATGATACATCGTGTAGCATAGCTCTCAACGGATGTTGGCCTATAAATGTTGTAATAAAATGCCTCTTACGGGATTAGAACCTGCGACCTCTCGCTGTCAAAGCGAGCGTCATAACCATTAGTCCACAGAGGCTTTTTTTTTCTCTTTCGTGGCGTAACCACCACATTTATTTCAACAATCTTCATTAAAAGGGAACAATACAATATTTCCTTTTTCTTCCAAGTTCTTTTCATTCCCTTCTTTTTTTAAAATATTTATATAATTCAATGACAACAGTACTATCAAATTATTATTATTATTATTATAATCAGTTTTAACTCCAGCCATTTTTACAGAGCAGTTTGGAATTGGGGAATGTATCACCACTAATGTAACAATCAACCACGATTGTAACATTAACCACTGTTGCAACAAAAATCAACCACTGCTGTAACAGTAACCACTGTTGTAACAAAAATCAACCACTATTGTAACAATTTCATTAACCCGGCTATTGTAACAACGATTTAAACACTGTTGTAACAAAAATCATTAACCACTTGTAACAATGATTTAACCAAATGACTGCACAAGAAAGAAAGCAAACAGTAAACAGCGATGATTCATCGTGTAGCATAGCTCTCAACGGATATTGTCCTATAAATTTTGTAATAAAATGCCTCTTACGGGATTAGAACCTGCGACCTCTCGCTGTCAAAGCGAGCGTCATAACTGTTATAGTTACACTCTATTACGCAATAGGTACGACTGGAAAGCAACAAAAGAATGTAATATAAACCAAGCTAGCTATTGTGTAATATAAATAAATAAATACATTGTGTAATAAAATGCCTCTGACAGGATTCGAACATGGTTATTTGAATCTGTAGATAGGAACTTCAGTCTCATGACACTTATTTCTGTTGAAATTGTGCGCAGTGAATATAAAAAGCGAAGGGCCATTAATTTTAATGTATTGTCATGTCAGTATTTAATCGTTAGATATATTAATTGATAATCACTGATCTCTCAGACGTGAATATTTTTCTCTGTTGCGGCATTGGGGTTGGTTTCTCAGTCTTCTTGGGCCCTGGTTAATTACAGATCGAATTTTTATCTATGTATAATTAACTTTTATTTTATTTCTTTCAGGACACACCGGATTACTTGGATCTGTCAATATTAAATTTAGAATTTAACTGTGAATGAACGTCGAACGCTATCTTGTTTTTATAAGATCTTTGATGAACGTAAACAGGCCTGCGTGGTGCTGTAGATTGTATGTAATTGTTTAAAATGTATTGTCATGTCAGTATTTAGTAATATATTTAGATTAATTGATAATCACTGATCTCTCAGACGTGTATATGGAAAGCCTAGCATGAATATTTTTTTCTGTTGTGGCACCGGGATTGGTTTCTCAGTCTTCTTGGGCCCTGGTTAATTCAGATCGAATTTTTAGTTGACAAAAATGTTTTCTATGTATAATTTAATAACTTTTATTTTATTTCTTTCAGGACACATCGGATTACTTGGATCTGTCAATATTAAATTTACAATTTAACTGTGAATGAACAGGTCTGTGTGGTGCTGTAGATTTTTAAGAGAATGACAATATAGCCGGGCTACACAAAACAAAATGAATACTGAATAAAGTGATGATAGTTTATGCTAAATGTCTATAAATAAAGGTACTACTACCAGGCCTGAGTATTTATTTTTTAATATTTTAACAGAACTACCAGGCCTGAGTATTTATTTTTTAATATTTTAACAGACGGTAAGCCTATTTACACAATAGCGGTTTCAAGGTTGTTATAATAATTAAATGTTGAATTTGTTTTGCATATTTTTTCAATAAATGTCTAATTACGACTGCAATAATTTCCAAACACTATAACAGCAATAAAAAGCAATGAAAAAACAATCATTTATAGTCTCTGATGATTATATGTCATTTATACAGTAGAAGTACCATGGTAGTACATATCGTAGGCACCATTAATGACCCAAGCCTATTTTTAGTATCAGCTGACATGCTTTTTTCAGAACCCATCACTACACAGATTGGATCACGTCAGGGATGTGTGGTTTTTGCACTACTCTACATTATTGTTTATACTGATGACTGCAGATCCAACATGAAGATGAACAAACACAAAACGTTTGTATAGCGTTCGCGAATGTTGTGGTTTAGGTATGTCACAAAATAACGTTCACATAACGTTGTAAGAACGTTTAAACGTTGAGACGTCGTGAAATTAGGTTATATGTATCGTACATATGGTTCTACAAAATAACGTTTTTATCACCAAACTGTAACGTTATTATAACGCTCTTATAACGTAATATTGTTAGCTGGGAAGATATTGAAATACGCAGATGACGCAGCTATCATAAGTTTCATGAAATCCAACTCTGTGTTTATCTTTTAATACTGTCGCGAACTTCTCAGTGTGGGGTAAACAAAACTGTTTAAAATTAAATGGACAAAAAAACAAAAGAACTTATAATTTACTATCGAAAAGCAGAAAATAACATTGTATTCCTTGTTGTTGACAATTGACAATGTTGAGATTGCAACTGTTACTTATTATAAATACCTAGGTTTAGAGATTGACAATAAGTTAAACTGGGGAAACAGTGAGATAAATTTGTTAAGGGTATGCTGCGCCTCCATTTCTTAAGGAAATTGCGGTCTTTCAATGTTGATACAAGTATAATGATCCTTTATTCTCCTGTTATTGAAAGCACTCTTTTGTTTGGAAGTTATGAATGTTTTGGTCAATTAAGAAAAAACGATTATAACAGAATACAACTTATCAGGCTGGAAAAAATTCTACAACAAAATAGACAACTAGATGATGATGATGTGAGATGTGAGTGGCCCTCATATGCACACCTGACTTTGGATCGTCACCAACACTTCATAATTTCTCTCTTGTACTTTGGTTAAGCGTTAACGAAGTTCCAATCATAAGTTGATTAGTGTTTGAAATATCTGGTCTGGGACGTTTTCCTGTACTGTAAATGGTCCTCATATATCCACACCCTATTCCGGATGGTCACCAAAATTTAAACCTTCTTCATTGAAACATGACAAACTATTCTGGGTATTTTCATTTAGAGTTTTGATTATTTTTAGAGATACTGTATTTATGTCTGGGACCTTATGAATTTACATGACCTTCAAATTCACACCCGAATTTGGATCGTCACCAATACTTCATAACTTCTTCCTTTTAACTTGGTTAAACTTTCACGAAAGTTTCATTCAGATCAGTTGATTAGTTTTTGAAATATCTGTTATGGGACGTTTTTCTTTGAATGGTCCTCCCTACGCCGGATGGCCACCAAAATGTAATCACCTCATTCTTGGGTTGTACCTAACAATCCCTGTAACTGGCATTTAGCTTGGTGCAGCTGTTTTGGAGATATTTTGAACAACAACAGCAGCAGCAGCAACAACAACAACAACAACAACTACAACAACAATAACATTAATAATAATAATAATAATAATAATAATAATAATAATAATAATAATAATAATAATAACAATAATAATAATAATAATAATAATAGGTGTTATTAAAATTAACAATGTTAAGTATAACAATTTTTATTTGTTAATACCAATATCAATCTAACTTTAATATTTAACAATGGAGGTTAACATTGTTATAATTATTACTATTATTATTCCAACAACTTACTATCAAAATCCTACTTTAGCAATAATGAATAAACAGACAAAAAGTAACTTACGTGAGTCCACATTCTTCAAAAAAATAATGGCTATAACATGCAAAACAAGTATATACATCGCTTTGTTCTTATTTATACAACAGAATCTTAAAAGTATCGTAAAAACTCACTAGGCCATAGACCTTTTGAAACCAAGTGGTATCTGTAAGTAAAAACTTCACAAAAAGGAAGATGTGTTACAAATCATTATGTCAAGTATTGCTTCTCGTCACGTTGACTGCTAAATGTGCCGATGTATTGATTTCTGACAGGTTTGTATGAAATATCGTATAATTTGATTCACTGTATAGATTATAGTCAACAAAAACGTATTGAAAGTTGATTGATAAATTACGAACAACTATTTCTTTGGAGAGTGACCGACTAACTAGAATGAAATTACATAAATCAATATTCTTAGAATTCACTCGATTCTCCGGTCGATGTTTTCTATCAGGATAACAATTATGTATTTGTATATCATTTGCAGGGTTCTCAGCAGCATTTTGGATTGGTGGTCGCCGACATCAAATTCTCCGCCGACATCAAAACCTCCCCCACCCCCGGCTGACAAAATCATATTATAGAACCCCTATGATTGAATGTACCCGTGAATCTGTGGTGTACGAAAATCAAATCTTCCCAAAAATAGTAGGCCTATTGATAAAATAGTATAAGCTTGATCAAAACGAAATAGGCCTAAATATTTGTTAAAACAAAGGAATTTCTACTCATTATTGTACAACGCACGGATCGAATAGCCCTGTGTTGCTCTAAAGAGAAACATAGGGCGTTTCTTCTTTTTTCTATAAACGGTTAAATTCCTTCTGAACGCGTTTCTAATGAAAAGTGCAAATAATAAAAAAACGGTAATGCGAGCATTGACAGATGAGGGTCACCAACGAAAGTTGAAGCTGACCTTACTTCTTGCGAGCTGCAGCGCGTGCTGAGAAAGAAGTAAACAACACACCCCGCGCCCTCCCATAGATACGCCACTGGTCGGAAACGAGTGCTGGACCACCACCGACCAGCGTCATGAGAACCCTGAGTTAATAACGATCCTCTTATTATTGATTTAATTAGATAGTATAATATATACTCCAAGTATCGAAATGCACATTCAAATACCAATTCAATATTTCGATATTAATTATGTCATCATCAGGAATCAATAATTGATTCAATTATTGTTGGTAACAGGCCAATATGAGTGAATTCAAGCTCAAACGATTGTCAGAGCGTAAATTAGGATCTTACAACTAAAACTATGTAGTAAGGCCTACTCCATACACTGTACCACTCGGGATGCGCCACCATCAACCCTACGTGTGAACCCATATGTTGGAGTTGTTGGGAAGCAAAATCAGGCCAACTTTGATATAAACGTTTTAAAATATGATTTGTTTATCATCCCCCGACCAATCTCTCCTAGATTCCCCGACGGGGGCTGTATCCGCCCTCCTATCCCCCAACTCCCATAGCACCACCACTGCATCACAGTCGGGAGAGCATCTTCAAGGCTTCTAAATAACTTTCAAACATAACATCATTTTCCACACAAGTGTTCAAAGGCCTAGACAAACTTTTCAATCAGCAAATAAAAACTATATATATATATATATATAACTATATATATGTATA